GATTATGGCTTACAGCTCATGAAAACCCCAAATCTACAATCTCAGTAAATTAGAATATTACATGCAATCAATAAAACAAGGAGTGTACATAGAACAATATCGGACCTCTGAAAAGTATAACCATATATATGGACTCAGTACTTGGTTTGGGCCCCTTTTGGACCAATTACTGCCTCAATGCGGCATGGCATGGAAGCTATCAGCCTGTTGCACTGCTGAGGTGTTATGGAAGACCATGATGCTTCAATAGCGGCCTTCAGCTCTTCTGCATTGTTCGGTCTCATCTCTCTCATCTTTCTCTTGGCAATGCCCCATAGATTCTTTAGGTGGTTCAGGTCAGGCGAGTTTGCTGGCCAATCAAGCACAGTAATCCCACGGTCATTGAACCAGGCTGTGGTGCTTTTGGCAGTGTTGGAAAATGTTGGAAAATGAAGTCAGCATCCCCATAAAGCTCGTCTGTGGAAGGAAGCATACAGTGCTCCAAAATCTCCTGGTAGATGGCTGTGTTGATCCTGGACTTAATGAAGCACAGTGGACCAACACCAGCAGATGACATGGCTCCCCAAATCAACACAGACTGTGAAAAACTTCACACTGGACTTTAAGCATCTTGCAGTGTGTGCCTCTCCATTCTTCCTCCAGACTTTGGGTCCTTGGTTTCCAAATGAGATGCAAAAGTTGCTCTCTTCAGAAAAGAGGACTTTGGACCACTCAGGTCTATTTTTCTTTAGCCCAAGTAAGCCGGTTCTGATGTTGTTTGTTGTTCAGGAGCGGCTTGGCAAGAGGAATACAACATCTGAAGCCCATGTCCAAGATCTGTCTCTGTGTGGTGGCTCTTGGTGCACTGACTCCAGCCTCATTCCACTCCTTGTGAAAGTCCCCAACACATTTGAATGGCCTTTTCCTGACATTCCTCTCCAGGCTGCGGTCATCCCTGCTTCTTGTGCACCTTTTTCTTCCACACTTTTCCCTTCCACATAACTTTCTATTGATGTGCTTTGATACAGCACTTTGGGAACATCTTACTTCCTTCGCAATTACCTTTTGAGGCTTTCCCTCCTTATGGAAGGTGTCAATGATGGTTTTCTGCACGACTGTCAGGTCAGTAGTCTTCCCCATGATTGTGATTCCTACTGAACCAGACTGTGAGACAATTGAAAGGCTCAGAAACCCTTTGCAGGTGTTATGGCTTACTTAGCTAATTAGAATGGGACACTGTGAGCAGAGAATATTGCACCTTTTCACAATATTCTAATTTACTGAGATTGTGGATTTGGGGTTTTCATGAGCTGTAAGCCATAATCATCGCACTTATGACAGATCACAGCTTGAACTATCTTGCTCTGCATGTAATGCTTCTATTGCATATATTAGTTTCCCCTTTTATGTTGCATTAATGAAATAAATGAACTTTTGCACGATATTCTAATTTTTTGAGTATCACCTGTATATATATATATATATATATATATATATATATATATATATTACACTCCCATAAAAGGTGCTAGGAGAGTGATATATATTTTTACATATGTGCTTGTAGCTGTCTGTCTGAGATATATATATATATATATATATATATATATAGAGAGAGAGAGAGAGAGAGAGACAGCTACATGCACATATGTACACAGCCTTCACTGAGACTATCTTGTAAAGTCTCTCTCATAAACTCTCTAAGCAGGGGCGGAGCTAAAAGAGCCAGGTAACTGCTGCAGGGCAAGCAATAAGGAGTCCCTGCTTCTCCCAACAACCAGTCTCCAGGAGCAGCACTGTCTCCACTCTTCCATAATGAACAGAGGTCACTATGTGTGATTGTAAGCCTGTGTGTGTGTGTCTGTCTGTCTGTATGTTTGACTGTCTGCCTGTGTGTGTCTATGCCTATGACTGTGTGCATGTGTGTGTGTGTGCCTGTGTGTATGACTGTCTGTCTGTGTGTGTGAGTGTGTGTGTGTGTGACTGTCTGCCTGTGTGTGTGTGTGTGTGTGTGCGACTGTCTGCCTGTGTGTGGGACTGTCTGCCTGTGTGTGTGTGTGTGTGTGACTGTCTGCCTATGTGTGACTGCCTGTGTATGTGTGTGTGTGTGTGAGACTGCCTGTGTGTGACTGCCTCTATGTGTGGATGTCTTCCTGTGTGTGTATGGCTGTCTGCCTCTGTGTGTGTGGCTGTCTGCCTGTGTGACTGCCTGCCTGTGTATGCGTGTGTGTGACTGTCTGCATGTATGTGTGTGTAAGACTGTATGTGTGGCTGTGTGTGTGTGGCTGTGTATGGCTGTCTGCCTCTAATTGTGTGTGAGTGTGTTTATCTGCCTGTAACTGTGTATGTGTGTGACTTCATGTTCCTGTGTGTTTCTGCCTGATCCTCAGTATGTGACTATATGCCTGCAACTATGTGCATGTGGTGGATTTGACAGTGTATATGTTTAACTGTGTGCATCTAACTGTGGGACTGTGTGCACATAACTCTGCAAAAATATACACCTGCATTCACACATAGGCCTAATGCATATATTTATCTGAATTAAATACCCGTCACAGACAGCCAATAAATCCAGCACAAATAGCACATACAACCAATACATGCATTTCACACAAAGTTAATACACGCATTACAAATATCACATTCAGCCAGCACATAGCATACATATCACAACCCAGTCATCACACCTATCGCATACACAGACAACACAAACATTACATCATATTATAGTGAGATGTATTACAGTGGAGCTCTGGTATATAAAATACCACATTACTCTGTGTTTTATAGTTAAGGAGCTCGGTGATACACTAATAGACACATTACTTAGAGTTGTATTGTTGTGTAGTGTATGATCTTGTCACAGAGCTCCATATTACTGGGAGTTTTATTGTTGTGGAGCTCTGTGATAAATGGAGAAGTAGCGCATTACTGCAAATATTTATTCCAAAGAGGCCAAGGTAAATAATTATATTTAATTAATTATTAAAAATAATTAATATAATTATATTGCCTCACCCTTCTGTCAGTCCCTGCATTGGCTTCCTATAAAATATAGAGCTCAATTTAAAATTCTGGTTCTTGCTTTCAAATCTGGTTCAAATCTCTACATAATGCTGCTCCCACCTATCTATCCTCCCTTATACACAAGTATGTCCCGTCTGGGCCCTTACGATCTGCTGAAGACTTACATCTATCTTCTGTCCGTACTCCCACCTCTGATGCTCGCCTTCAAGATTTCTCGAGGGCTGCACCATTCCTGTGGAACGCGTTTCCCTCCTCCGTTAGATGCTCGCCCAGTCTCCACTCCTTCAAAAAATCGTTAAAAACCCACTTCTTCATAAAAGCCTATCAATTAAACTGATCAATTAAATTAATAGCTCCTGACTGATTCCTCTTCTGCAACTGTCACTAGTCTAATACTATCCTTACCTTTTTGTGTCATTTTACCCCACTCCCTCTAGCATGTAAGCTCATTGAGCAGGGCCTTCAACCCCTCTGTTCCTGTGTGTCCAACTTATCTGGTTACAACTACATGTCTATTCGTCCACCCATTGTAAAGCGCTGTGGAATTTGATGGCGCTCTATAAATATCATAATAATAATTATAATCCAGAGCTCCAAAGCAAAACCACTCACGGTATTATGTGATATACTTAGTCTGCTCCTCTCTAATGTAGGGGAGGCAGTCTGGCACTTCTGGCCTGAACTTCTGTTGGCTGCAGACCATAAGTAGCTGTCTTCCTAGCTCGGGATAATCAGAACGTTGTCGCAGATTACCACAGGACGCTGCAAGTCCCTCAGCTTGCTAGACAGTTACACATGGTCTGTACCCAGTGGAGGGGCAGACCAGATTCAGATCGGCATGCCCCTCTCCAAACTAGGTAACAACAGGACAGGAGGAATGCATATTTGTTTTTAAATCATTATTAATTTAATAAATCCCCTATACAATCACTACACTCCAATACACACACACTATACATAGATGACAGGGATTTTTCACACAGGGTGCCTAAAGGCCGAAGGCCGGTCTTGTATATATATTATTATTATTATTATTATTGCTATTTATATAGCGCCTACAGATTCTGTAACAGTTTACAGTATTATGAGAGGGGGGATGAAACTATAAATAGGACAATTACAAGAAAACTTACAGGAACAATAGGTTGAAGAGGACCCTGCTCAAATGAGCTTACAGTCTATAGGAGGTGGGGAATAAGACACGATAGGACAGGAAATATCAATCAAATAGGGTGGGAGTGAAGCAGAGCTGGAGGAAAGAGTAAGGCACTGCCCGATAGGAGAGAGCTAGTGACACACCAATCTCAAATATCCCTCCCATACATCTCAGCATCAGGATGTGATCTAGGTCCCCAGATGATCTCACGGACTGGTCGGACATCTTGACATCCAAAAACTCGATTACCATTTGTGTCCCTCACCTGAAACAAGCATATAAAATGCTTTTCTGATGATACTTTATACCTCAGCGTCAAGCTTCCATGCAACACACACCGACCAATTTATGCTGGAAACTATGCAGATTAACCGGTTACTTTTTCGCTGCTGGTGGAACTGCCCCAAACTGCCTTGATCTCCAGCATTTCTCCACCAAACTCCTTTTTACCCATCTCAAATCTAACTTGCCCTACCTCTGCAACCTCCCTCTACAACTCAACTCTCTCCTGTCAACTCGACATCATGGCACCTCTCGCAATTAAACACAGCAAGCGCCCCCAATTACAACCATGGCACACCAAGCTCACCCGTTACCTCCAAAAATGTTCTAGAACTGCTGAACGCTGCTGGAGAAAGTCTCACTTTGCATCTGACTTCCTCCACTATAAATGTATGCTATGCTCCTACAGCCTGGCTCTCTCCGCTGCAAAAGTATACTACTTTAACACCCTCATAAATACATTGTCCCATCAACTCAAACACCTATTTCACACTTTTGAGGCCCTTTTACTCCCCCTCCTTCTACCACCTTGATTGCCACAAACTTTGCATCTCACTTCACTGAGAAGATATCTACAATCAGAGAAGAGATTGCTAATCTCTCTCCTTCCCCCACCAATACATCACCAAACCCCACTCCCTCCACCATTCTACACTTATTCGCACCTGCTACAGCAGAAGAGGTTCATGCTCTGCTCCGGTCCTCAATCCCTACCACCTGTTTCCTCAATCCTATTCCCTCGCATCTCATCCGCACTTTGTCTCCCTCTCTTGCTTTTCCTCTCACTAAAATATTCAATCTCTCCCTTTCCTCTAGCACATTTCCCTCTCCCTTCAAACATGCAACTGTAAACCCAATTCTGAAAAAGCCCAGCCTTGACCCCAACTTCCCATCCAACTACCGCCCTATCTCACTATTGCCATTTGCCTCCAAGATCCTCGAGAGAGTTGTGTACATCAGACTGACTGACTTTCTGGAATCCAGCTTGACCCCCTTCAGTCTGGATTCTGTGCTGGTCATTCTGTCGAAACGCTGTGACCAAAGTATCCAACGATTTAATCTGATCTTAATTTGATCTTTCTGCTGCCTTTGACACTGTTGATCTTCAACAGCTTCTTCACATTCTCCATAATTTTGGTCTACAGGATACTGCTCTCTCCTGGTGCTCCTCCTACCTCTCCCAGCGCTCTTTCAGTGTTTCTTTCTCTGACTCTGTCTCTTCCCCCCAACCACTCTCTGTCAGCGTCCCCCAAGGTTCTGTCCTTGGTCCCCTACTGTTCTCTATCTATACTGCCTCCCTTGGGAAACTCATCAGCTCCTTTGGCTTCTGTTATAATTTCTATGCGGATGATAAGCAAATCTACCTGTCCTCTCCTGATCTCTCTCCACCCATCTTGACCCATCTTGACTCTTCGATCTCCAACTGGATGGCTGCTCACTTCCTTAAACTCAACCTGTCCAAAACAGAACTTCTGGTCTTTCCTCCCTCAAGTGTTACTACTCCTGTGTCTGTCTCCCTCCAAGTCAACGGCGCTACCATCACCTCTACCTCACAGGCTCACTGTCTGGGTGTTCTTTTTGACTCCAACCTCCCCTTCACCCCTCATATCCAATCAATCACCAAATCCTGTTGCTTCCATCTCAAAAACATAGTGTGCATTCGCCCCTATTTAACCCCAGATGTGGCTAAGGTGCTGGTCCATGCTCTTGTTCTCTCTCGGCTTGACTTCTGCAATACCCTTCTCAGTGGTCTTACATGTTCTCAGATTGCACAGCTGCAATCTATAATGAATGCAGCGGCGAGGCTCGTTTTCCTATCTGCTCGCACCTCCCACACCTCCCCGCTCATTTTCCTATCTGCTCGCACCTCCCACACCTCCCCACTGGCTTCCAGTTAAATATAGGGCTCAATTTAAAATTCTGGTGCTTGCTTACAAGTCCCTACATAATGCTACTCCAACCTACCTATCCTCCCTAATACACAAGTATGTCCCGTCGAGGCCCCTACGCTCTGCCAAAGACCTACGTCTATCCTCTGTCCGTACTCCCACCTCTGATGCTCGGCTCCAAGATTTCTCCAGGGCTGCACCTCTTCTGTGGAACGCCCTTCCCTTCTTCGTAAGACCAGTCAAAAAATCATTGAAAACTCACTTCTTCAAAAAGCATATCAGCTAAACTGTAAGCAGGTTTTTATCCCCCACCCCCATGACTCCTCTCCTGCAACTGTCAAAAATTACCTACTAATCCCTCAATAAAAAACTTTTCAAACAACCTACTTCGTACCCCTACGTTTACCCTTTGCGTCACAATATCCCACTCCCTCTAGAATGTAAGCTCATTAAGCAGGGCCCTCCACCTCTCTGTTCCTGTACGTCCAATTGTCTGGTTAAAATTACATGTCTGTTAGTCCACCCAATGTACAGTGCTACGGAATGTGATGGTGCTATATAAATAATAAAATAATAATAATAAAATTGTTCCCCTCTGGAAATGTATCACAGCTCTATTAAATAGACCACTCCCCATGGATCCATGGGCACTATTACTACACAGGAATCGCAGAGGTTTGGTCCACCATTAGAATCCCCTCTCCTCAAACAATTAATAAGAACATATTAGAAAGCATCGGCATGGGTAGGCTTACAGCTGCAGGGTTAAAACTAGAGGGACCTGACACCCAGACAACTTCATTGAGCTGATGTGATCTGGGTGTCTGTAGTGGTCCTTTAAAGGACCACTATAGTGCCCTGAGGGTGCCCCCACCCTCAGGGCCCCCCTCCGCCCGGCTCTGGAAAGGGGAAAAGGGGTAAGCTCTCCTCCTCCGATCCTCCTCTTCTCCTCCCCGTCGGCTGTATGCGTATATACCAGGTTCGCAGGGGTCGCGGCTGCGACCGGGCCCGGCCCACCAGGGGGCCCGGCCGCCCCTGCGACCTGGTATGTACCCACAGGGCCAACCTCTTCCCCTGGCTGGCCCTGTGAGCTGCGCGCGCATTCAGCCGGTCACATAGGAAAGCATTCATAATGCTTTCCTATGGACGCTGGCGTGCTCTCACTGTGAAAATCACAGTGAGAAGCACGCAAGCGCCTCTAGTGGCTGTCAATGAGACAGCCGCTAGAGGAAATAGGGGAAGGCTTAACCCATTCATAAACATAGCAGTTTCTCTGAAACTGCTCTGTTTATGAAAAAATGGGTTAACCCTAGCTGGACCTGGCACCCAGACCACTTCATTAAGCTGAAGTGGTCTGGGTGCCTAGAGTGGTCCTTTAAGTGTGTGTGCATCTGCATGCACTGGCGTACATACCGCGGTCACAGCCCTGTAACCCCTGCGACCAGGTGCCCACCGCCATGTGTTGCGGCCGCTTGAGGGGCGGATCAATTTTCGCACCGGGGCCCCATGGGTCATGTGTACGCCACTGGCTCCATGGCATAGCTATCTGGGGTATCACCGCTCAAACAGGGCAAGCACCAAATGACCCGGCTTTCATGTCTTTGCAGGGGATAATTCAGCGTTTCAACATGGGGCCATAGTCTAAAGGCAGCAGGCGGGCAACCAGGCTTCTCTAATGCAATGTGGCGAGATTGCTCTCGTCACAATATATATTTATTGTATTGCACTTACAAGATCACAGTAGATAAAAGGCACATCTCCACTTGATAGTGGTGTAAAGTGGCTGGAGTCCTTGCGGTGTGTAATCCAAAAAACCCGGACCAGTGAGAGAGCAAATATACATAAAAATAAATAACAGATAAAAACCAAGCAATTAAAAGTCTCTATAATATCATCCAATGCATTTCGTCCTATGTGGGGGACTTCCTCAGGGATATGAGTCTTGAGTTCCGAACAGTCTCATACCATCCTCCGAGTGTGGCGTGCGTTGATGAGTTCCACCCTGACACACCGTGACGTATTTCTAGTGCGCCTGTATTCATTATGAATGTTGACTTCCTTCAGTCTTTTGTCACTCGTGCATGCGCGAGAAGTTAGATAGTTGTGTGCATATATGGAATACAATACTGAGGACACTAGAAAAAAGAATTGGAGAGATAGACGGGGGAAATAAATTGCCATATCTGTATACATAGGGATTGATGAGAGTGCTAGTCCCACTCCTACCAATATGCATTTTGGTTCCATGGAAAACTTGCTCATATTGCAAGTTTAAAGCTGATTAATAACAGAAGAAAAAACGTGAGGGGTAGGTCTAAAATTTGTGAAAAGTGGATTCACGGAACCAGTCTGCCATACTCATCGGGTCTTCTAGATGTGCCCCCGAATCCACCATGGAATCCACCATGGAAAAGCTGAGGGGACGAAAGCGAACTATGCACACTCGTCAAGAGTTCATAGTTCCGCAAACAGGTCACTGGACACAACACCGGGGGAACTGGGAAACTCGTATATGAAACCGACGAATAGCTGTCTTAGTGCGTCTGTAGATGTTAAATGTCACCCCGTCCGTAGTGAAAGACCTAGCATCGTAGTCCAGTGCACGACATTCCAAAACCCATTTGCATGAAATGAGGCAAAAAAGTGATACCAACTTGGCCGACAATTATAGGGGGTAAATAGCAACAAAATGAAGGAGACGTCCAAAGTAGTCAAGTATTAAGGCCTAGGAGGGAGCGACAGTCGCGAGCCCCGAAGCAAGTGGCGCACCAAGGGGTGTTGGCCTCCTGGACAGTTGTCAAAGCCTTGATGAGCTGAGGAAATGGCCGATCTGTACAAGTAAATCGTGCGATACAGCCAACCAGCCTCGAATAACGAAGTGAGGAATTGGAGGATCGCAGTTACAGGTGCCGAAACGGGAATCCATGTTCCCGTATGACCGTCTAGACCCGGGAGCCCATGCGTCTACCAGGAGGCCTTGAGTTGCGTTCGAAATCCCTTGGACTTCCCAGGGAGCCCGTAAATCCTCCACACGAGCAGTAGCAATGACCCATCCAGCAGGAGAGGGTGTCGCCGGCCCGACAGGTCCAGAAGGAGGTCTGGGTAGATTGGCAGCAGTCTGGGCACATCCACCCCTAGTTCCAGGAGCTGTGGGAACCATGATTGAGTCCCCCAGAATGGGGCCAGCAGAATCAGGTCGGCCTTCTGGCGGCGAACCTGGAGCAAGACCCGAGAGATCATGGCGAATGGAAAGAAGGCATAAGGGAGCGAGACAGTCCAGTCTTGAAGGAAGGAAGGCATCTACTGCCTCCGCAGCTGTTGAACCGTGGTAATTGGGTGTTGAGTCGGGATGCGAAGAGGTCGATGGCAAAATGACCCCAGAGAGACAAGATGGAGGAGAATGCCACTACGTCCAATCTCCAATCGCTGCTGTCCGACATATAGAGTGAACTTCAGTCCACATAAATGTTGTGGAGTCCCGGGAGGTTTTCCGCCTTGACCACCAAATCCCTGGCCAAGCAATAAGCCAAAAAGTCCTTCACCAAGTGGGCTAATTGCTGACTACGTGCCGTCCGTGTGATTGACATGGCGGACCGCGGAGATGTTGTCCGTGCTCAGTCGAATACATGCGCTGGCAGTCCCGTTCACAAAGCTCCAGATTGTGAAGGAGCCGGCCAGGAGCTCTAGGGCATTGATGTGGAGACGGGATTCGTCGTCTGACCAACTTCCCCTGGTAGTCACACTGTTGCAGTGGGCACCCCAACCGTGGAGGCTTGCACCCAAATTCACTGGGAACTCTGGTTGGGAACCGAAGATGGCCTTGCCATTCCAAGCTGAGAGGTTGTGGATCCACCAGGACAACTCGTCTCGAGTCTCTGTGTCCAGAGAGACCATGTCTGCATAGGATGCCCCATTGTGGAGGTGTGCGATCTTCAGGTATCGGAGGGCATGGTAATGGAGAGGGGCTGAGAACACTGCCTGGATTGAAGATGCCAGTAATCCAATGATCCATGCCAGATGCCGTAGTGGTAACTAGGAGCGTGCTAGAGCACGGCGCAATTCCTTACGGATGATCCGAATCTTGGACGGAGGAAGGCTGAGTGATTCCACTTTGAAGTCTACGGTGAACCAGAGGAACTCCATGCATTTGCGAAGGGGAATTGAGGGCATTGTGGGGTCGAAGATTGATAACTGGGCGCATCTGCCCGCCCTTCTTTTCAACCAGGAAGATGTTGATGAATACCATTGCCCCTTTTGTGTGAAGGGCCAACAATTCCAAGATGCGGTCGTTCACAGAGAGTGAAATAGGGCGAGGAGGAGGAATGTGACACGGACACAAACATTGGAAAACATATGAAGTAGATGTAAGCTTACCGTAAGGGCGTCTGGAACCAGAGTTCCCTCTGAAGCCTCTGGATCGCCATGACCTTCCACGAGAAGGTTAGAAGGGGGACTGGTTTCTCACCTCCTGGTAGGGGACAGACGACCCCTGAATCTGCCAGCCCTGGTAGAAACCCACCCTTGAGATACCCTCTTCTGTCCCTTCCTGCTATTTGCTGACCCTTCCTGCTCATTGCAGCCCCTTCCTGCTCCTTGTAGCCCCTTCCTGCTCATTTCTGTTCCTTTGTGCTCCTTCTCCTACTTTACCTTTGGTGCTCATTGCTGTCCCTTCCAGCTCCTTGATGTCCCTTCCTGCTCATTTCTGTTCCTTCTCCTTTCTGCTCCTTGCTGACCCTTCCTGTAGGCTGTCTCCCTCATCCCTCACTTACCTGATCTATAGTCAGTCTCTCCCCACCTCTCCCCTCCCTCACTTCCCTGATCTATAGGCTCTCTCCCTCTTCTTCACTTCCCTGATATATATGCTCTCTATCCTCCTCCCTCACTTCCCTGATCTATAGGCTCTCTCTCCCCCTCCCTTACTTCCCTGATCTATAGACTCTCTCTCCCCCACCCCCCTTCCCGGACTAACCTGATCTGTAGGCTGCCCCCTCCATCCCTCACTAACCTGATCTGTATGCTGCCCCTGTGCCTCACTTCCCTAATCTATAGGCTGCCTCCCCTCCCTCACTTACCTGATCTGTAGGCTGCCCCCATCCCTCACTTACCTGATCTGTAGGCTGCCCCCATCCCTCACTTACCTGATCTGTAGGCTGCCCCCATGCCTCACTTCCCTAATCACTACCTGATCAGTAGGCTGTCTCTGGCTGCATTTGCTGCTCCTCTGCAGATTCAGTCAGTAGAGAGAAGCAGGAACAAGATGTAGCTTCCTATCCCTGTCTCTCTCCATACACAGCACCAGAATTGCACTGTATTTTCAATCACACAAAAAATAGCAGAACAAGTTGAAAAATATGGGGGGAAGGGGTGCCCCCACTTGCCCCCCTGACCCCCCCGCCCCCGCCGTGGACAACCATGCATATGCCATGGTTGAATATCTTAACCACCTCCCATCTCCAGTGAGGATGACAGCCCAGATCAGTAAGGAAAAAGTTCAATTTCTGGACCAAGAAAATTTGTTCATAGTTTATACTCAAAGTTAACTCATCAAAATACTATATTACACTACAATATTACACTACAATAGTGCTCATCCAACAGCACTCAAAGATTCAATTCCTCGTGCTCAATTTCTCAGAGTTATACGCAATAATTCTAACGAAAGTGTTATGCAAATAACAATTACACAAATCATAGACAAATTCCTAGACAAATTCCTAGAACGTGGCTACAGTAAACATACCCTGGTAAAAGCGTTGAATGAGGCAAAGTCTGCACACACACCAAGGGATTCTACGTTAGCCCCTAGGATGTTTTTTCTAATTACTTACCACAATATGGCATTGACAGCCTTGAATATAGTGAGGAAGAATTTGAAAATGCTTTCCTGTGATAACACTCTGCCTAAACTGTTTAAGGAACCACCCATGAGCTGCTACAGTTGTATCAAAAAAAGTTCTCCTATATATATTTTTGAGTATATTTTTAGGAGTATATATATATCATGTTTTGGTGTATATTTGTATGCATTCTTGTGACTTACATATTAGCCCTAACATAGGTTTATGGGTACATAATTCTATTTCACTATCACTGTACCATTTTAAGTACATATATCCATTCTAAACACTGTATTAAATAATTTAGCACTCTATCACTTTCATGTACAGTTAATACTTTTTCAGGGCTTTAAGAATCGAATGCATTTTTCATATACTTATATGCACTTTAATGTACATATTAGCAGGTTTAGCACATCTTAATATTCACTTTTTGGATGTTTAGTCACTTTACATGCAATCAATCTCACTTTATTCGTATATTTCAGCCCTTTAATGTACATTTCGACATTATAGCCATGCAATCAATATCACTCCTTGTGAGGGTTTCTTCAGTATCTTTCAATTCTTCACTCCTTTACTTTGTTCTGTTATATTATCTTATGTGGTATATAGTTCCAGTCTCTACATGTTGTTTACATATTTATTATTTACTATCATTTCTATGGACGGCGAGGCGGTAAAAGTAATCTAATTTCTTTCAATGTATGGGCTATATAAGTTAGTTGTTTTACTTGTTTGATATGTTGTTGATCCTGAGGAAAGCCCCGAATGAGGGCTGAAACGTTGATAGTTACATAGTTACATAGTTACATAGCTGAAAAGAGACTTGCGTCCATCAAGTTCAGCCTTCCTCACATTTGTTTTTTGCTGTTGATCCAAAAGAAGGCAAAAAAACCCAGTTTGAAGCACAATTTTGCAACAAGCTAGGAAAAAAATTCCTTCTTGACCCCAGAATGGCAGTCAGATTTATCCTTGGATCAAGCAGTTATTACCCTACATTGAAAGATTATATCCTTGAATATTTTGTTCTTGCAAGTATGCATCTAGTAGCCGTTTGAACATCTGTATGGACTCTGATAAAACCACTTCCTCAGGCAGAGAATTCCACATCCTGATTGTTCTTACAGTAAAAAACCTTTCCTTTGCCTTAGGCGAAATCTTCTTTCTTCCAGTCTAAACGCATGGCCTCGTGTCCTATGTAAAGTCCGGTTTGTGAATAGATTTCCACACAATGGTTTGTATTGGCCCCGAATATATTTGTATAATGTTATCATATCCCCTCTCAGGCGACGTTTTTCTAAACTAAATAGGTTTAAATTTGTTAACCTTTCTTCATAGCTGATATGTTCCATTCCTTTTATTAATTTTGTAGCCCGCCTCTGCACTTTTTCTAGTGCCATAATATCCTTCTTTTAGAACAGGTGCCCAAAATTGCACAGCATATTCAATATGGGGTCTTACCAGTGATTTATAAAGAGGCAAAATTATATTCTTGTCCCGAGAATGAATGCCCTTTTTCATGCATGACAATACCTTACTGGCCTTGGCCACTGCTGATTGACATTGCACATTGTTGCATAGTTTGTTGTCTATAACAATTCCCAAGTCCTTTTCATGTGTTGTTATCCCTAATTCGCTTCCATTAAGGGTATACGTTGCTTGTGTATTCTTTACGCCGAAGTGCATAACTTTGCATTTTTCAACATTAAATTTCATCTGCCATTTGAGTGCCCAGTCCCCAGTCTATCTAAATCCCTCTGCAGCAAAGTAATATCTTGCTCACATTGTATTGTTTTACAAAGTTTTGTGTCATCTGCAAACACTGAAACATGACTTTCAATGCGGTCTTCAAGATCATTTATAAACATGTTAAATAGAAGGGGTCCCAGAACAGACCCCTGAGGGACACCACTTGCCACCTCTGTCCAGCTTGAAAATTTACCATTAATGACAACTCTTTGTACTCTATTTTTAAGCCAATGTTCTACCCAAGAACAAGCATTTTCATCTAGACCGATTTCCTTGAGTTTGAACACTAATCTATTGTGTGGAACTGTATCAAATGCCTTGGCAAAATTCAAATAGATCACATCCACTGCAGCACCCTGATCTATACTTCTACTTACTTCTTCGTAGAACGCAATCAAGTTAGTTTGACATGACCTGTGCTTCATAAAACCATGCTGATTTTTGCTGATAACCATGTTCTTCTCAAGGAATTCTTGAATATTATCCCTTAATAACCTTTCAAATATTTTACCAGCTACAGAAGTTAAGCTCACAGGTCAATAATTTCCAGGCAAGGATTTTGAACCCTTTTTGAATATAGGAACCACATCTGCCTTCCTCCAATCCTCCGGAACACTTCCTGAAAGAAAAGAATCTTGAAAGATTAAAAACAGAGGTTCACTTATTTCTGCACTTAGTTCCTTAAGTACACGTGGATGGATACCGCCAGGCCCTGGAGCTTTGTTTATATTAACTTTCTTTGGTTGCTGCAGCACCTTGTCTTGAGTTAACCAATTACAATTATTCTGCAAGTTTTTAGTAGCAATCATTTGCACATCTATTGCCATGGGTTCTTCCTTAATATATACGGAGGAGAAATAGTTATTTAAAATTCCTGCCTTTTCCTGGTCTTCATTAATTAACACCCCGTTTCAGTTTTTAGTGTACCTACACTTTCATTTTGTTTTTTTTTAGAATTTATGTACTTAAAAAATGCTTTGGGATTGGTTTTGCTCTCTTCAGCTATCATTATTTCATTTTGAAGTTTAGCAAGTCTAATTGCCTTTTTGCACGCATTATTTGCATCCTTATATCTTTTATAAGATGCATCTGATTTGTCCGATTTAAATGCTTTAAATGCCCTTTTCTTATTTTTAATCTCTTGTTTTACTTCTCTGCTAAGCCACATTGGTTTTAATTTGTTTCTTTTATATTTATTTCCCAATGGTACATACTGAGAAATATACCTTTCTAATATTTGTTGGAAGATGATCCATTTATCCTCATTGTTCTTTTCACTAAAGAGTTTATGCCAGTCAATATATTGTAAAGCTTCCCTTAACTTATTGAAATTGGCCTTTTTAAAATTATATGTTTTAGTATTCCCGATGTGCTTTTGTTTTTTTGAGTTTATTTCAAAGGACACTATATTGTGATCACTATTTCCCAAGTGCTCACCTACTTGAATGTTGGTCAAAAGATCAACATTGTTTGTTAAAACCAGGTCCAGACAAGCATCCATTCTAGTTGGTGCTTGCACAAGTTGTGACATGAAGGTGTCATTTAACAAGTTTAAAAACCTAATTCCCTTTGCTGAGCTACTAGTCCCTCTGTCCCAATTTATATCCGGGTAATTAAAATCTCCAATAATTAAAGTGTTACCCAGATTTGCAGCTTTCTCAATTTGTTCAAACAGCTGTTGTTCCTCGTCAATATTAACATTAGGTGGTTTATAACATATCCCAACCAATAGTTGGTTTCCCTTCTTTTCCCCCAAACAGATATTTACCCATAAAGCTTCCACATTATCCTCCTCGCATTCCATTT